GGAGGGAAGTGCGAGAAACTCACCGCCAACTGCGCCCTTGCCGATTCCGCCGTAGCCGATGCCAGAGCCGTAGCCTGCGAGGAAGAAGGGGCGAAGAGGCAAAGTCAGTGAGGTGTCGACGGGACGAGGAATGAGGAAACGCACCGAGACCTGCGCCGCCGTACGAACCGTCGAGCGAGCCATAGCCGCTCGAGAAGCCCTCCGGGTCGAAGGACGAGCCGACGACGCTGCGCTTGTAGACGCCTCCTTTGCCGCCAAGGCCAGCGGCAGCACCGACGACGGCCGTGTTGTGCTTGTCAACTGCGGGAGAGCGGAGTCAGCGGGGACGAAAGGAAAGGAGAGGAAACGAAGGAACGCACCGTCAGCGTTGTGCTCGGCGACGTTGAACTGTTTGTAGCAGAACTCCTCGTAGTAGAACTCGCGGTTGTTGATGTCCTTCTTGATGCCGTCGAAGAGGAAGACCGCCTTCCCGGCGGCTGCGCGACGATGGCGAAGGTCAGCGGCGAAGGAGACGAAGGAGCAAAGTGAGCGGGAACGCACCGTCCTTGGCGAGAACCTCCTTGGCGTACTTGACCTTGTACTTGGCTGCGAGAGGCGGAGAGAGTCAGCGGTGGAAGAGGAGGAGACGAGGAACAAGGAAGGAACGCACAAACGTCGGCGTACAAGTTGCGGTAGCAGATCTCCTTGAGCGAGATCTTGGCCGCCTTCTCCGCCTCGTTGTAGTTGGCCTGCTTGACGACGTCGACGCCGACTCCGGGGCTGGGCGCGGCGAGGGCGACGGCCGAGAGAGCAGAGATGGCGAGGAGGGTCTTCGAGAGCATCGCTGGTGAGGAGGAAAGACGAGGGCGAGGAGTGTGTGAGGAGGAGAAGGGGAGGCAGGATGGCGCAGCGACTTTGTACTCTCGGATCCGCCTCGAGGGTGGGACGGAGCGCAGGAAGCGCAGCGCATACACGGCGAGACGAGCGCATGGATCGAGGAGGAAGTGGGTGGGACGAGGGCGCAGCTCGCTGCGAAGGTCGAGCGGATTGCCGGAGCTGCATATGTCGACAGTCGGTCGCACGGCGGGACTTCGTGCGCGGCGAGTCGAGGTTGAGGAGAAGTTGCAAGTCGAGGGAGAAGCGGAGGTCGAGGCTGGTCGCCGGTGGTAAGCAACAGTCCGGTCGTCAGCATGGTCCTTCGACAGCGCTGTTGCAGGTCGAGACAGAGGCGCAGCTGGAGGAAGGCAACGAGTCATGGAAGCGGCGAGCAAGCAAGGGATGGGTCGGCAGCGAGGCGCTCGCGAAGCGGCAAGCAAGTTGGCGCTCTTCTGCGTCGACGCGAGGATGTTCAGCATGCATGGCAGAGTGGAAATCGCCTACTTCGCCTTGCGCCTTCTTGAGAACCGAAGAAGTCGGGGGTCTTGAACCTCCCCGGCCGCAACTGCGCATACAACGAGCATTAGCTAAGCAAGCTAACCCTCGCGCTTTGATGCGTGTCGCCCAATGAGCAGCGGTGGCGAGGGAAGCAAGGCGGGCAGGTAGGCAGCCGAGCGGGAGGATGTCGACGGCAGAGGCGCATGGCGGTCGGGGTATAAGTGCTGGGCTGCGATACAACACAGGCACGTCTGGATACTCGCAGATACAACACGTCAACGGGAGGAGGCGATGCTGGAACACGCAGGGAGCCGAGAGGGGACGAGAGGCGGCAAGTTGGAGACGGAGGGCGAGGGTGGTTGCACAGGGCGAGGCGAAGTGAGTTCGATCGCGTCATCTTCGTCGCTCGGACGGGCAGGAGAGGATCAGAGAGAGGCAGAGGTCGAGGAGGGAGACGGAGGTCGCAGGAAGGGGGGGAGAAGGGCGAAGAGTGGGGAGTGGACGGGCGATAGTCGACAGGCTCATAGGAAGTACTGCAGCGACGTGCTCTTGACGGGGATATTGCGGGCGTCTTGCTGCTGGATAGAGCCCCAGTATATCAGCTACGGTTCGAGGGATGAGCCTGAAGCGGACTGGGGACCCCGATCGAAACGAACCTGAGCTGCCGCGTCGAACGTCTTGTACGTCGAGTTGAGATTCTCGTCGAGCTCGAGCACCGACGCAGTATTACCGCACCTGCGATTCAAGTAGAGATCGAGCATCAGCATCTCAGCTCAGTCGAGGCAGCCGCGACTTCCGCCGCCTAACGCACCGATAACAATAGTTCGGTGCCGACCAGACCGTCACAATCTTGTCTTCGAACATCAGCTTGTAGCCCTCCATGACAAGCTGGTGTGCTCGGGCGATCAGGTCGAGGTTGTTGGCGTGGACGAACTGCTTGACGACGTCGGCGCCGAAGAGGTAGCCTGCGCCGCGGGGCGAGAGACCCCAGCCTTCGATGTCTGCGCGAGATGGGTTGAGTAGATAGACGAGGTGCAGGAGGAAGCGAAGGAGACGAACCGTCCGGATCTGACCAGAGCAAGTCGCACATCGCGCCGTCGTGAGGGACTTCTTGTTTCCGGTCAATCAGTCGGATCTGCAACCGTTTGGAAAAGCGTCAGCTCGTCAAAGATCGGCCAGCGGACCCCCGGTGAGTCCTCAGACGGTTCGCGACGCGCTTGAAAGTCGATTCAGCGAAGTCTGACGCACCTGGTCCAGACTGTTGACGTTCGGGCTCAGCCCTCCATGCACACAGAACACCCGTCCGTCCACCACCGCACCCAAACTCATGTAATCAAACACCTCGCAGCAATACCTCCACACGCTCGCGCTGCCGTACTTCTTCATGCACTCGTCGTAGAAACCGTAGACCTGGGTGATTTGTCGTGACTCGTGGTTGCCGCGGATGAGGGTCATGCGGTCGGGATAGCGGACTTTGAGCGCGAGGAGGAGGAGGAAGGTCTCGACGGAGTAGAAGCCCCGGTCGACGTAGTCGCCTGTGGTCGTTGGGGAGCAGAGTCAGCTGACTTTGCCGGGTCGCTGACCGCACGGAGGGCTCATCAGGCTGCCCGAACGCACCGAGGAAGAGGTAGTTGGTGTCGGGACATTGCCCGCCTACTCGGAACAGCTCGAGCAGATCCCAGAACTGGCCATGGATATCGCCGCAGATCTGCGTGGGAGTAAGGCCCCGTCAGCTCATCCAGCGAGACGCGTTCTCCATCGAGACGAACGGTGACGGGCGAGTCGATCCACTGGATGTTTGCCTCCTCGACGAGGATCTCGCGCGCCTTCAAACAGAGTTCCTTGACCTGCTGTTCGGATATGGGTTGGCTGCGTGCGTGCACAACAGCTGCGTGAGCGGGTCGTGTGCGAGTTGTCCGAGGCGAGAGGAGGGGACGCACCAGTTCTTGAGCTGCTCGATCTGGCTGCGAGTTGGGGCGGGTCAGGGTAAGCTCGAGCTGCTGAGAGTGATTCTGGCACGCGCAAGGACTCACCGGTCGAGGCTGGACGACATTGGCACTCTGGTCGACGGCGAACCCGCTTCCTGACCCACAACCACGACACCGACCACGCTCTGCTGGCCTGACGATGCCCAAGATCACACCAAACTCGGTAGTAGGAAACGTACGCCCTGCCCTCCAGCTCCCGCACCCGCTCGTCCCCCCGTTGCTCCCATCAGCTCGACTTTCCCGTTCACCCGACTTCACTCACTCGCACTCGCTTGAACTCGTTTGAAAGGCTGCTGCGGAGGATTGAGGACTGACTCGCATTCGCTTCGGGCGGACAGACTGCGTTGGCGTATGCGCGCGCATGGAGGGCGGTTGATGCGGACGGACAGGTGCTCGGCAGGCTCGCGACACGGATAGCTATCGTCCTGATGGGCAAGCACAAGCCCATCTTTGACCCAGCAAGTGCGTCCTGTCGTCCCTCTGAAGCCCGCGGGAGCTCGAGCTGACCTTGACCTCGTCCTCCTCGACGACTCGAATCGCAACAGACGACTGCGGAGACTACGTCGTCGTGACCAACTGCGACAAGATCCGGGTGACAGGCAAGAAGGCGGAGCAGAAGGTCTACCGACACCACACCATGTTCCCTGGCGGTTTGAAGACAATCACCTACAAGACGATGATGGAGAAGAACCCTGAGCAGGTGCGTCGGCTTCCTTGGCCATCCTCTGCGTGCGTAGTCGAAGTCACGAAGCGGCAGAGACTACGCTCGTCGCGGCTCTCCCAGTTACTCACGCTTTCGTCGCCCGCAGATCATCCGCAAAGCCGTCTCTGGCATGCTCCCCAAGAACCGGCTGCGCGAACCTCGCCTCGAGCGGCTCAAGATCTTCACGGGGACCGAGACGCCGTACGACGCCAACATTATCCGCGACCACGCCGACGAGTTTGGCAAGACGTTCAAGCGAGCGCGCGAGGTCGAGAAGCAGGCGAGCGAGATTGCGCAGGCGCAGGTATCGGCGTAGGGCGGTTTCCGTGGTCGCCGTGTACTTTCCTAGACTGTAACCCTTCGCATAGCAGCATTACAACCCGCACTTGCCGCCGTCGAGAGATTCGTTACCAGACGGACGCGCTCACTCCGCGTTCTCTTGTTTGGCGACTTCGACGTCGTCTCGCTGGCATCGCTGGACTGCTGCTGGTGCTGAACGGATAGAACACGAGCGCATGGCACCCGCTCCAGGGCCCGCGTCGCCCCTCGAGCCGCCGTCGCCGTCCCCATCGCGCTTCATTCACTCGATCCATGCACCCGCCTCTCCGCCTCCCACGCCCTCTCCAGCACCGCCAGACTACTCCACCTTGATCCACTCGCTCCAGACTCGCAGACCACGGCAAGCGGCGCACTCGGTGATCCCGCCAGACTTCGAGGCGGACCTCAAACTCGCGGCGCAGATCGGGCAGAGCTTGTTGCAGGAGAAGACGGCGCTGCAGGCGAGGCTGGAGACGAGCGAGAAGGCGAACGGGAAGCTGGTTGACAGGCTTGCGAGGGCGGTCAAGGAGAACAAGAGTCTCGAAAGGGTGCGTTCCTCTACAATTCGCCTCGTCGTCTGCTGGTCTGGCGTGTTTACCTGAGCATAACTGACTCCGCGTACCTGTTGTTGAACGCAGCGCCTCGAAGAAACCGTCTCGAGCCTCGAACAGTCCGAATGCTCGAACCGCACCCTCCTCTCCTCCCTCGAAACTGAACGCAAGACCATCTCTCGCCTCTCGCACGACTCGGGCAAACTCGTCGCAACCGCCAAGTCTCTCAAAGCTCTCCAGCAGCAACATGCCGACTCGCTCCAAGAACTCGAGAGCGAGCGACGGAGGGCAGACGGGGCGGAAGCTAAAGCGCGCAAAATGGGGGAGCGGGTGCGCGAGTTGGAAGAGCGGCTGGGGAAGGCGATACAGGATCTGGAGGAGATGAGGCAGGACAAGGTGCTCAAAGAGTCGAAGCGCGGCGAGCAGCAGACCGGGTTGCAGGAAGTTAAGGCGCGGCATCAGGCTCGACTGGCCTCGTCCTCGCAGGCTACAGCTCACGCTCGAGCAATCCTCGGGTCCGGGTCATCGGCGCCAGAAGGCTCACACGTCGACAATCCTGAGGCGAAAGAGCTCCTCAAGATGGTCGAGACGCTCGTCGAGGAGAACCAGCTCCTCCGCAGCGAGAGCATGGAGTTGCACGGGCTGCTCGAGAAGGAGCGGGAGGAGATCGAGGCGAGTCGGTCGCGGCTTGCAGAGGAGGCGGAGATCCAGGAGGAAGACGAGGATGAGGAGGGGCGCGACTTGAGCGGCGAGACAGACCACTTCAACACACATTCGCGTGCTGCGTCCGTCGCAAGTATGAGCTCGTTTGGCGAGGTGCAGCAGCCGGTGAGACGAGGCGGTTCGCGACGACCGGGCCCGATTTCGAGCCAGAGTACCGGCTTGATTGGGACGAATGCGCGGATGCCGGTCAGGCGCGGGCACGGCAGGAGGGCGATGAGCATGGATGTGACACCGCAGCTTCGCACAGTGCGTGAGCCTCAACTTCTGAACAATCTCCATGCGCTGAACTTCCGCTTCGCAGGTCATTCCCATCGGCAGCGCCCCTACTTCGCCTCAGCCCGACCGTCTGCACTATTCGCCTGTCGCCCGCCCCGCTTCCATTTTCAGCAACGACGCAACAGACGACGCGAACGCAGACACAGTTTCCATCGCCAGCAGTTCCGTTCCTCTCTCCCGCTCGACCCGTCGCCAGCGCCCTCTTAGTCTCTCGCTCGGTCCATCTGTCTTCCCACACGTACCAGAAGACGAGGATTACGCGGCCCGACCAATCTCGCCGTTCACGCGACAGGCGCCCTTCGCTCACCGGCGCAGGTCGAGCCAGATGAGCGGCGGGGCGGTCTCGCTCAACGGTCTGGGCATCTCCTCGCCGCTCCTCAACGGCTCGCAGTCTCGCTCACCTCGTCTATCGCGAGGACCTGCCGAACTCGTTGACGCGACGACCCAGACGACTCCTCCCGCGACTCCTCCTCGACCTCGCACACCGCTCTCACGCACAGAAGTCGGCCACGACCCCTCCTCCACCGCATTCCCCGACCTTCAAGCGCAACTCTCCCGCAACGTCTCCGCCTCTCCCTCCTCCCAGCACTCCTCGCTTCACGTGCCCACCCCCGCCGCAACGAGCGAGACTCGCACCGCTGCACTCGGCCAGCTCATCGAGCATGTCTCAAAGTTGCTCTTGCGCGTGCAGGCGGCGGATATTGCGACACAGGAGAAGAGGCTGAGGAAGCAGCAGTTGGCGGGCGATGTGAGGTTCTTGGCGCAGGCGAATTTGAAGGACTTGGTGCGTTTCCGTCTGTGCTGCTCGAGCTCTGTGCGACACTGAAAGGTCGGCATTGCAGGTCAACGACGTCGACTCGGTTCGCCACCACTTCCGCCGCGTCGTCGAGCAAGAACGGGCGACGCAGACCCGTCAAAACTCTCTCGCCGCCTCGACCGCCGCCAGCAGCGCCGACACCTCGCTCGTCACCCGTCGCGACTTTGTCTCGCTCGTCAAGCTCCTGCGCGACCTCCTCTTCGAGGCCTCGCGGCTGCGCATGCTCGTCAACCGTGTTCAGCTCGAGCCGGGACTGGCGGAGAAGCTGAAGGAGCTCGATGTCCCGAATGCGTTCGATGCTGTCGAGCAGCAGGGTGCGAGTGGGAAAGGCGCAGCAGCGACCGCGACGACTGCCGCTGGACTGCTCGCGCCTTTGTCGCGCCTGTTCGGAGGAGTTGTCGGTCACGACGACGCGCCCACGCTGTCGCACCGTTCAAGTACGGCTCACTTGCGACCTCCGCCAAACAAGCGCGGCGGTTCCGGCACGGTCAGCACGGCCACCGCGACTGTTAACGTCGAGTTTGGCGGAGGAGCCATTCGGCAGGCTCAAGCTGCGGAGACGGCGACGACAACCTCGCCCAGCACGGCTCCGTCGGCCACAACAACCGGGAAAGCGCGGGCAACGGGCTTGTCGCATGTGCGACGAGATCTTTCGTCCATCTTTGCCGGAGCGTCGTCGACTTCTCGCGCAACAGCTTCGACGGCCACGTCCTCCGACCTATGGGGTCCAGCTCCTTCCTCGGCTTCTGGGTCCTCCTTCTCGCAGCTTGGTGCACCCGCCGGCCGCCTCGCATCTGCCGCCACCGCTGCATCCTCCTACATTCCCTTCGGCCGTCTTCTCTCCTCCTACCGTCCCGCCATGTCCAGCACGACCAACGCCGTCCTCGACTCCATCCCACATGCACCCTCGCATCTCCCCGCGTCTGCCATCGACGAGGAAGGCGGCTTCGAGCCACCTCGGACTCTGCTCGAACGCCAGCTTCGCCCTCGCGGACTGTCCGACTCATCCATCCGCTCGACTTTCCTCTCGCACGCGAATCCTCACCATCGCCTCGTCACCGCGACCGGTCTCGCGCTCTCTTCCGAACCAGTCACGATCCCCGTCGTCGTCGCTCCCGACTCGTCGTTCTCGACCGACCCTTCTTCGTCCCTCTCCGGCTCAGCCTCTCCCGCAGCAGCCATCTCTGCCCTTCGTCAAACGCTTCTTGACGACGCCCTCGACCCTGCACCAGGTCGCAGCGTTTCCCGCCGCCCTTCAGCCGCCAACCTTCGCTCCAAGTCCTCTTCTGCCCAGCTTCGCGAGTCGCTTAACCCGGCCGTACCGGTCCTCAGCACCTCGACAGGTACGACCGACTCGAGCGTCACCTTGCTCGACCACCGGCAGCCGACGGTCAAGATCAGCGAACCCATTGGCATCGTTGGGCAGGAAGCGACGGGCGGAGGAGGAGCGGCTGGCTTGATTGGGACGGTCGTCTCCAGTGCGTTTGGGTCGTTCGCTGCGAGTGCGGGGATCGAGGCTGGAGGGAGGAGGGTAGCCGTGCACACGGGAGGTGACAGGGTTGCGGAGAGCTGGAAGGAGCGGAGCAGGCTTGTCTAGAGAGAGCTCTTGATTCAATCATGCTGTACATGGTCTGTCTTGGCGCGATCTGCCAGTGCCCGTTCGTCTTGTTGTCCTCCTCTCCTATCGTTATGCCTTCTCACACCCTCCTTCGATCTTTCCCCTCGTGTCCTTCGCCACTGACCTTGCAATACGGGATTCGCTCGTAATCTCCTTCCTCACCGCCGCCAGGCTGGAGTATCTATTCGTACGGCAGCGACTCGCCTGAACGTGCGGACCGGCGAGAAAAGGCTTGAGCAAAATGACTGGATACATGGCAGGACGACAACACACGGCAACTGCAGCACCGGACAAGCGGCGACAAAGGCGGCCGCGAGAGATAGAAGGATGCGGGAGCTTGTATGGCTCACCCCTGCATTTGTGTGTACGACTTCGGGAAAATGCCGACGCGGCCGTTGAGCTCGCCCTTGAGCCAGTCGTCGTCAACTGCGGAAACACAATACGGTCAGCTCGAGGACGACGGTGAGGAGCGGGATGCAAGTCGACGTGCCAACCTCGAGCACCGTAATCCGGTCGTTCTCGTTGAAGGCAAGGTCTTCAGGCTGCCCACCGGCGTAGTCGTATAGTGCGATGGCATGGCCTATACCGCGTGCTGCTGGCGGAGGTGGGCGAGATGCGGCGGGAGGAGGAGGAGGGGCGGCGGAAGTTGGCGAGAAGGGAGGTGGCGCTCCCAAGCCGGCTTCGCCGCCAAACATTCCCGCAAATTGCGGTCGCGAGCTGAAGTACTCGTCGAGGAGGCTGAAGAACGCCTGCTTCTCGTGCTCGTCCATCCCGCTGAAGAGGCCCCTTCCTCCGCCGACAGCCGTTCCTGCGCTTGCTGCGGCGAAACCGGCTGAGCTTGACGCCGCACTCGGCGCGCGCGCCCGTCCTGGCGGAGGAGGCGGTCCGCCTGTTCGAGTCGGAGGAGGAGGAGGCGGAGCAGCCGAAGAGGATGTGCCAGTTGCGAGACCGGGCGATGCGAGACCGCCAGCCGACGACGACGAGTTCGTGCGTCCCTGCGCGCCCATGGGAAAACGCTTGTCGACTTTGTCGAATTGTGCCGTGACTGACGTGCGGCCCTTTTCGGCGATTGTGCGAGCTGAAGAAGAGACCAGACCGAGGAGGAGAAGCAGGGTAAGGGGAGCAGCAGGACAAGCCAGGACGTTCGGGAAAGGACAGATACCGTCGTAGAGAGCAGTGGCGAGCAGATTAGAGCTCCTGGTCAGCATGCTCGCTCAGGTTGTCCCACATGACGCGCGGAGGAGGAGAACGCACCCTGCTTGAACGCAGACGAGGCGGATCCACTGTGGGTGAGCTCGTTAACTACGGACGTATTCGCATAGACTGTCCAGACCCACAATTTGTCCATCTTGAGCGAGTTGTGTTGGGTGGGAGAGCGAGAGATGGAGGTCTTCCTCGTCCAGGTCACTCCAGCTCGCTCGACTCGAGATGACGGCTCCGCGTGCTCAGCTGCTGCTCAGATTGGCTCATCGCGCACATGTACGCGCAGCGCGACCACTCCCGCTTCGATTCGCCTCGTCCTCGTCCTCCCCTTCCCCGTCCGCCGACCCGCACCCAATCCTCTCCGAACTGCGCAGGAAGGGAGCCACGGCTTCGTCAGCCAACTCTGGGCCGCACCTCGGGCCCTTCCCCATGCCGAACGCGGAGCGCGAGGCCCGCATCGCAGACTCGCAGCGAAAGTGGGCGCAGATGGGAGGTGCTGAGCGGGCTGGGGTGGTTGCGACGCAGTCGGCGAGCTTTGTCGTTGTCGCATGTGGCGCAGGACTCTTCCTCCTCGTCATCTACGCGTTCAGCAGCGAACTCTTCGGCGAGGCAAGCCCAACGAGGATCTTCGAGGACTGCGCCGACCGCGTCAAGGCGGACGAGGAGGTGCGCACAACGTCTCTCATGCGTTGTGAGCTCCGAAATTGACGATATCTCGGCACACGAACAGCTGCAAACGATGCTCGCCCCTCCACTCTCTTTCCACGGCTCATCCTCCGGCTCCCGCGTCCGCCGAAACCGCCGCATCTCGCATTCAATGTCGAAAGACCCCTCAACAGGTCTCGAGACGCTCTTCGTCCGGTTCTACGTCGAAGGAACCGACCCTCTCGCAGCCGAAGCTGCAGCAAACGAGAGCTGGCTCGACTGGGCGAAGCGGTGGATCGGTCCGGCCGTTTGGGAGGACTCGCATAACCCCGGGACGTATCGACCAAAGCTTTCGAGCGGGTTGACGGAAGAGGAAGAGGAGGCGCGCATCGAGGCGGAGCGACGGAAGAAGCTGGATGAGGAACGACGGAGATCTTGGGGAGGTTGGCTGAGCAGCTCGGTCAGTTCAGCGTTAGGACCGGTGTTTGGTGGCGTCAAGGGCTTGCGAGGGGGCGCAGGGCCGGAAGATGGTGCGCCGTCGAGCGGACGAGGGTTCTTCAGTCGGCAGAAGAAGCCTCGACTGGGCGAGTACACGACTGGAGAGGTCGTCGCCGAGCTGCGGAAGGTTCGTCGGATCCTCACGCAATCTCATGCTATCTGAGCTCACCGCTCCTCGTTCCGCAGGACCCCACAACCGGACATTTCGTCTACGAGCAGCTCTTTGTCGCCATTCCCGGTTCGTCCCGTTTGCAAGTGTCAAAGCTCTGCTGCTCTTATTTACACGTTTCTACGCAGATACTCGCGCGCCCAACTACTACCGTCACAACATCAACACGACCACCGTCGTCCCCTCACAGGAGAAGGCGCTCGACCGGCTGCGGTTCTGGAACAGGACGAAGACGGCGTAGCAGGAGTCTCGAGCTTGTTGCCATGCATGCTGAACAACCTCGCTGCGACGCAGAAGAGCGCCAGCTTGCTCGCCGCTGCGCGAGCGCCTTCCTGCCGATGCCTCGCTCGCTCGCTGTGCCAAGACTCGTCGCTTTCGTTCACCTGCGCTTCTTTCCCGCGCTGCAACAGCGCCGTCGCAGAACCATGCCGACGACCCGACTGCTGCTTACCACCGGCGACCAGCCTCGACCTCCGCTTCCCTGTCGACTTGCAGCTTCTCCTCAATCTCGACTCGCCGCGCACAAGTCACGTCGTGCGACCGACTGTCGACATATGCAGCTCCGGCAATCCGCTCGACCTTCGCAGCGAGCTGCGCCCTCGTCCTACCCACCTGTTCCTCGATTCATGCGCTCGCCTCGCCGTATATGCGCTGCGCTTCCTGCGCTCCGTCCCACCCTCGAGGCTGACGCGAGAGTACAAAGTCGCCTCCGCCGCCCTCCCTCCCCTTCTCCTCCTCACACACTTCCTCTCCCTCGACTTTCCTCCTCACCCACGATGCTCTCGAAGACCCTCCTCGCCATCTCTGCTCTCTCGGCCGTCGCCCTCGCCGCGCCCAGCCCCGGAGTCGGCGTCGACGTCGTCAAGCAGGCCAACTACAACGAGGCGGAGAAGGCGGCCAAGATCTCGCTCAAGGAGATCTGCTACCGCAACTTGTACGCCGACGTTTGTGCGTTCCTTTCCTCGTCCCTCGTCTCCTCTTCCTCCGCTGACTCTCTCCGCGCTTCTCGCAGCCAAGTACAAGGTCAAGTACGCCAAGGAGGTCCTCGCCAAGGACGGTGCGTTCCCGCTCACTTCGCTCCTTCGTCTCCTTCACCGCTGACCTTTGCATCGTCGCCCAGCCGCCGGCAAGGCGGTCTTCCTCTTCGACGGCATCAAGAAGGACATCAACAACCGCGAGTTCTACTACGAGGAGTTCTGCTACAAGCAGTTCAACGTTGCCGAGCACAACGCTGACGGTGCGTTCCTTCGTTTCCTCTCATTTCCTTTCGCCCGCGCTGACTCCGCTCTCCCACAGTTGACAAGCACAACACGGCCGTCGTCGGTGCTGCCGCAGGGCTCGGCGGCAAGGCTGGCGTCTACAAGCGCAGCGTTATCGGCTCGTCCTTCGACCCGGAGGGCTTCTCAAGCGGCTTTGGCTCGCTCGACGGCTCGTACGGCGGCGCAGGTCTCGGTGCGCTTCCTCATTCCTCCTCTGGTCGACACCTCGCTGACTTTGCACCTTCTCCCCTTCTCCCCTTCTTCGCAGGATACGGCTCTGGCATCGGCTACGGCGGCGGAATCGGAAAGGGCGCAGTC